TTCCTTTTCCTTTTCCTTTTCCTTTTCCTTTCCCTTTCCCTTTCCCTTTCCCTTTCCCTTTCCCTTTCCCTTTCCCTTTCCCTTTCCCTCTTCTTTATCATCCTTCTTCTCCTCCTCTTCCTCCTTCTCCTTCTCCTTCTCCTTCTCCTTCTCCTTCTCCTTCTCCTTCTCCTTCTCCTTCTCCTTCTCCTTCTCCTCTTTCCCACCCCCATTCCCTCTTCCCTCTCCTCTTTATTGAAATCCAGATAACACCTTTTACAGACAACCTGGTAATAACTCCCACGTTACCCTCAATTCTCTGAATTTCCATCAATGCTATAAATTTCCAGGCTCATTTTTCAGGCATCAAAATCCTCAGTCTCCTCAGAGCAAAAATCCAACACCCTCTTCTGTTACCTCAGCCTCGAAAGTTTGTTTATCCCTTTTATTTTAATTCCCTGTAATTATTTGCTCGTTTGCCTCCCCAGCAGCGTGTGTGGTGTGTTTGTGCTTGTGCCTGCTCCTTTCTAATGGCTCCCAAACCATCAGTGGTCCAGCAGACACGAGTAGCAAAAGCTATTCCAGAAGGCAGATAAAATAACCCAGCCCAGCCATCCACATCCCTGTTTTATCTTTATTATTCCCTGGAGGATTGTAATAATGTTAGGGAAATTGCAGAGCCAGTTTAGGCTTTATAGCAATTACAGCCTTCACTGGGTGTTTGGACTATTCCCATTTCTTTAATATAAAAAAAAATCCCCTCTTTCATCAGCAAGAGCTGTGTTAATTTTATAATGACAGATACCACACTGATAAACTTTCTGATTAAATTAAGCACAGTACAAATAACAAAAAAAAAAAAAAAAACCAAAAAAACCCAAAAAAAAAACCACAAAAACCAAAACTGTGGCTGTGCCACCTCAGAGAAGAAAACTCTCCCAAACTCAGAGTTCACTAAAATGCAAAAAAAAAAAAAAAAAACCCAAAAAAAAAACCACAAAAACCAAAACTGTGGCTGTGCCACCTCAGAGAAGAAAACTCTCCCAAACTCAGAGTTCACTAAAATGCACCTCAGAGATCAGGAATCCCTGGGCCTGACTGCCTGGATCACCTCCTAGCCCCTTGATTTTTAGGGATAAAATGTTTTTTAGGGGGTGCAGAGACCTCACTTTGTCTCAGTTAGAAGCTGCTAACAGAGAGATTAAAGTGGCAGCAGAGACAAATGTGAGCAGGTGGGAGCAGGTCGGGTCACTCTGCCCTTCGTGTTCTCTGCCTGAATCACCACAAATCTGCTCCAGGAGATGTTTGTGAGGCTTGGATTCCGTGCTGGGATGGGATCCAGCACGGAGAGCTGTGATGCTGGTGGTGTGAAGAGCTTTTGTGCTGTTTTCATGCCACTTGTCACCCCCTTCAGCCACCCTGGGGAGCTTGGAACACCTCCAGCAGCACCTGGAGCTGCCAGCGCTGCTGTTTGGGATAAGGATTTTCCTGTGGGACACGGAAAAAGCTAAAATCCAGGAAATTCTTGTTGAGAAGGGCCTGCAAAGGAAAAGGCTCAGGGAGTTCTCCTCTCCCTGGAGCACTGCAAGCCCTCCATGCCAGTGAAACCTTTGGAAACCAGCTCCTCTCCTGGCTCGCTGCTGCCTCAGAGTCCCAGGAAAGGAACAGCCCCAAACCCAAACCACAGCCCAGGTCCCACAGACTGCCCCGGGGTGGCCAAATTCCAGATGAGTGCAGGTGATGGAGAAGCTGCTGCTTCCCCCAAGGGCATTTCTGCTCACAAAGAGCTCCCTGGACCCCAAAAAGCAGAATTCTGAGAGGTCCCAGGGGAATTCTGATTTGCCTCTGGCCCCCCATCCCTGCTGTGCTTGTGTTGAAAATGTGATGGAGTGATTTCATTCATGACCTCGACTTGCCTGACCCTTGTTCTGCTTTCTCCTTGTGTAGGTAGGGAACCTTGGCCTACTTTTTATGCTCCTGTTTTTTATCTATGCTGCCCTGGGAGTGGAATTGTTTGGCAAGCTGGGTGAGTAATGGGCCCGGGGCCGCTCGCTTCATCCGGTTGGTGTTTATTTGGTATCTGGCTGCTTCCTTTTCTCCCTCTCTCTCTCATTCTTGGGCCTTCCTTAGCTTCACACTCCTGTTCTGAAGATGGACGTTTTCTCTTGATCTCAGGGTCGCAGTTGACACACGAAGATGTAACACAGAACCTTTCTGACACACACACACACACAAATTCGGCGCTTTGGCCAACGCCACCCTTGGCTGGAGAGGAGCTCTTTGCTCTTTAAATATCATTGCCCAGCATGGATGTGTTCAAGTTTGCTACTGGAGACAGAACACGAGCCTGCAGAGCTGGATGGGGGTCAGATTCCTGCTGGAGAGATGCCACCATAAACATGTCCCTGCTCAGAGCTTCCCCCACAGCCCATCAGCTCTCTGCACTTGGCTGCCACTGCTCCTGCAGCTCCCAGGGCTCCTCTGCCCCGTTCTCAGCATCACCTTCCCCTCTCTCCATCAATCAGGAGGCACCCAGTGCTTCCTGCTTGTCCAGCAGCAATTAATCCTCCACTCTGAGGATCCTGCAGCTGCTCAGGAAGGTGGCCATCACTAAAACCAGAGCAAAGCCCAGCCTTGCCCGGCCTGGAAAATGCTGTTGGAGGGAGCTGTGTCTGCATCCTCGACGTTTCCTTCCCAATTAGAGCTCCAGGAGCACCAGAAGGGCCCTTCCTGAGCAGAGTTTATGGCTGTCATTAATCCCCTTTATGAGCCCAGCCCTCTGCTCAGATTACAACTGCCTGAGAGCAGAATAATTCTTTCAACCAAAACCAAATTATTTTTCAGTCTCTCACAAATTCCGGGGAAAGAATTAGTTCTGCGCTCACCCTAAGTGAAACAGTGTGGGTTTATATTCCATCCCTGGAGTTATGGGTGCATTTGTTCAGTCACAGGGGTGAAAAATGGCTCTTCTGGTGTTCCCACACACACCTGGGCAATGCCAGCCCAGGGAACCCCACTGGGGCAGGACTCTGCTTCCCAGCCCAATTTAATGGGAATATTCCCTCTATTCTTCCTGATCAGTCCATGCCAGCCACCATCAGCCCTTTCTCCCCCAGGACTGGTCATTTTTGGGTTTTTCTTGGATTTTTTTTCTTTTGTTTTTCCTTCCAATTTACCTTGGAATAATTACCTAAGACTGAAATGCCCAACCAAGAGCCATTGCTGCCTGTCCTAATGGATATTTAACGAGGCTGTGTTTTATGGGAAGATGGATATTTCATATGTTCAATTTGCATTCATTAGGCTATTAATTCTCAGGGGGAAAATGTCAAATTGCTCCACTTTATCTCAGTGAAAATATCCCTCGTGGTGGATGTTAAAAATCATCAAGGCAAGGGCGCAATCAACAGGAAAACAGTCAGAGTCTGTAGAGCAGGAGTAAAGAAAATCACAGAAAGCAGAAGATCATGGAATGGTTTGGGTTAAAAATTACTTTAAAGCCTATCCAGTGCCACCCTTGACATGGGCAGGGACACCTTCCACTATCCCAGCTTGCTCCAAACCCTGTCCAACCTGGCCTTGAATGCTTCCAGGGATGAGAATTCCACCAGGACCATTTCCACCCCTCCTGCTGTCCTGTCCCACGGTTCTCCAGCTGAAAACACCTTTCCCCCTGTGTCCCCTGAGCGGGATGTCACCACCCCTGGTGCCATAAATCCACGGGACGTAGCTCAGGGTGCCACCCCCAGCTTTGGGGGCTGCTGTGGATAATCCAGCATGGCTTGGCTGAAGTTCTGCTCCTTCCCTGCCCCACAGATTGCAGTGAGGAGAATCCCTGTGAAGGCCTGAGCCGCCACGCCACCTTCACCAACTTCGGCATGGCCTTCCTCACCCTCTTCAGGGTGTCCACAGGGGACAACTGGAACGGGATCATGAAGGTGTGTGCAGTCTCTGGGTGCTTCCTCCTCTCTGGAAGGCTGTAGGTACAGTTTTCAAATCAATTTAGGCAACCCTTGGGTGCAAAAAATAAACAAATGTTTCCTCTTCAAACATCAAAATGGGACTTCCTAATAGGAAAGCCAGGTGTGTTTTCAAGATTTGTCCTGAGTCTCAGCCAGCCTGAAGCTTTGTTCCTGGATATAATATTGAAGGAAAATTACGCCAGGTTTTTGTCTGGGAGGAGTAACCATGAGCTCTGTGTGCTGTGCCTTTGGGATGTGTCACAGAATCACAGGATCATGGAATGGTTTGGGCTGGAAGGGACCTTAAAACTCATCCAGTTCCACGCCCTGGCATGGGTAGGCACACCTTCCACTACCCCAGGTTGCTCCATGCTCTGTCCAATCTGACCTGGAACACTGCAGGAGATGAGAAATCCCAAACTTCTGGGCAGCCCATTCCCCTCTTCATAGGCGCCGTGTTACGATCCCTGTATTTTCTCTTATCCGTTTCAGTCGTACCCACTTTGTGACCTTTTGGTGTTTCTGCACCTGGAGGCCGAGCAGAGCCTCTCTAATGCCTGCCCTGATGTCACCAATGTCACCAATGTCCCCCCCTGCTGCAGGACACGCTGCGGGAGTGCACGCGGGAGGACAAGCACTGCCTCAGCTACCTGCCCGTCATCTCCCCCGTCTACTTCGTCACCTTCGTCCTCATCGCCCAGTTCGTGCTGGTCAACGTGGTGGTGGCAGTGCTGATGAAGCACCTGGAGGAGAGCAACAAGGAGGCCAAGGAGGACGCGGAGATGGACGCCGAGATCGAGCTGGAGATGTCCCGAGGGGGCGGCGGGAGCCGGGCGCTGCACGGGAACCTGGAGCACGCCAAGGGCAAGCAGCAAGCCCTGGTGAGAGCTGGGGCGGGGAGGGGATGGGTCCCAGCAGCCTGAGCTGCAGATCCCACCCAGGTTGCACAGGGGGAGGCAAGGAGCTGTGCCAGCCCCTGTTGAAAATCAGGTGAACCTGGTGGGAAGAAATGTCTGACTCCAGCTCAGGAGGCTGAATGAGTTCTGTATTATAACTGTGCTATAATACATTAATATACTATTTAAATAATACATTAATATACTAAAACTACAAACCTACTTTTCTAACTACCATATCTAACTCGCTCACAACTCGTGATCCTCTCTC